ATATATATATATATATATATATATATATACACACACACACAAACATATACATATATAAAGTCTATTTTGATTACTGTGAATTTGACAGCATTGAACTCAGAAAAAATATGTCTTATGGGCTATTAGATATATTTTATAACATACAGATTGGTGAATAAATTGTCATAATTAGTTAAAAACGATGAAAATATTTAATGTTTTGTCTCAAAACTTACATTGGACTAATTTCTCTTTAAATTCCAATTCAACATTCACGTGGCCAAAACCCCAATTCAATTTGCACTCCACCTTATGAGCTAAAAATGAGCCATTTCTTAAATCTAGAACTCTCCTCAACCCAGCTACAAAACAAGTCCAAAAAAAGAGAGAAATGAAACATATGAGGTCACAAACAAGAGGTCAACAATTTCTTTCTCTCTTCCTCAGTACAAGATCGGCCAGTTATACATGATCAGCAAGCACAGCAGTGAGCAGAGCGGAGGAGGCGAAGGGGTGGAGGTCGTCCGTAATGAACCCTGCACAGACCCCAAACACGGAGCCGGACAGATCACAGAGAAACGCATCTACCTCAACAGGTGAGGCCGCGCATGCGCACGTGCACACACACACACACACACACACACACACACGTGCACGCATAAGCGATCCTGTTTCTTTCACGGTTTACATCACCCACCTGCCAACGTGCCAGCGATCAGCTATTATTGATGACTGCAGCTAACACCTTTATGCATGCAGCACAGCTCCGTCCATCGCTCACTTTCCCTCCAAAAATACCTTCTCTCTTCCTGTCGGGCTTCACGCAGAATCACACATCAGCATAAGCGTCCGACAGAAGATCACGTACACATTCAGTCAGATATCTTCCCACGCCGTGAACATGCACACACACTTATTGTAATTGCCTGTTTTCTTGTGTTCCTTACACTCTCGCCCTACAAGGACAAAACACACACACACACACACACACACACACACACACACACACTCAGTCATTATATGCTGTTGTGAATATGAATTACTGCACCTCTAGCAGTAAAACAAATTTTTCAAGCCATTAATGTGTTAGCAAAGCCCAAAAGGGCAGAGCATTAAGTTCCTAATGGTCAAATAAATCTTATCGTGGAGCATGTGAGTCTAATTCAAATGCTGATATTACCGCAGACGAGATCATTATATGCTGTTTACAAGTACAGCACGCTGAACCACTGCATTGTAATTATGAATAATTTAACTTGTATCGTCAAGATACGAGCGGCAAAGGATCGTAACATAATGGCAGTTTTTGGGTGGGAATGTGCTGTTCCGCGGGAACACGCTGTGGAAATGTCTGTCCCTTCAGGAATGGGAAAGAGAGAGTGTGAGAACGCGCTCGACACAACTGGCTGACCGTGAATGATCTACATCTTCTCTTCTCCACCCCTCTCTTCTCATCCTCTGTCCATCCATCCATCACTCAAGTCCTCAGGCTGTAAATCTCAAGCGCTGTCTGTGCCGCCTTATCGTACAGTGCTGAGTTCATTATCTCTCTCCCTCGGTATGGGCTTTCTTGGACTCTGACTGTGTTTTTGTAAGGGACAGATGGCACCAGACACTTCTGGAAGTGAGACTTGTAGCTATTGTGACGGTCGTTTGACCTCTTGACCCAAAACACAAACACGCATGCACCTCTAAAGTGGCCTAAAAAGTATCTGGACTCTTAACTTTAAATGACTGGCATTGCACAAGATAGAAAATATCAAAACAAACAGCTACTGCAAACATATTATGCAAGAAATTTTATCCAAACTAACTTTTTTCAGTAGTTGATCATTAAACCATACTATTGTTCATTTAAAAAAAAAAAGAAGTCTTTTACACTCAGCAAGGCATTTATATTATATATTATATCACAAATTTAAAATAACTGTTTGCATTTTAATACATTTTAAAATGTCATTTATTTCTGTGATTGCAAAGCTGAATTTTTAGCAGCCATTCAGTCTTTTTATTCTAATATGCCGATTTTCTGCTCAAGAAACATTTGTGCTATTTATCAGTTGTGCTACTACTTAATATTCTTTTGTGGAAATTATTACATTTTTTTCAAGATTCTATGATAAATTAAAAGAACAGCATTTATTTTAAATAAAAATCTTTTGTAACAAAATAAATGCCTTTTGATTGATTTAATGCATCCTTGCTGAATAAAAGTATTAATTTCCTTATTTTACAAAGAAATCTTACCGACCCCGAATTTTGGAATGATATTCTATATATTTTATCATTTAAAACCTAAAAGTTGATCCTGTCATATAGTAATACATCTTTTTTATTATATAATATTATTATGGTTAATATTACACTAATGTTAATTCATACAATTAAAAATTTTGAAAATTGACATCGGAAATGAACGTTAATCAAGATAATGTAGAAATTAACATTAATCTAGATTAATAAATTCTGTGAAAGTATTGTTCATTGTTAGTTCATGATACCAATTATACAGAAAAACATTAAAGGTAACAAACATTATGAACATTATTTATAACATAGACATCTTAAAGTATAACAGAAGTGTCTGTGAAGAGAAATATAAAACATTCCACGAGGCTTTTGTACAACTAAGAAATTTTGTCAACCAGCTTCACCAGAAAGATTGTGCTAGATGATCAATTTTAACAGTTTCACTTGTGATCACAAGTTCAACTGTTGAACTTCATGGTGCATTTCTGCATTATGCAAGCCAAATCAGTACCTAACTAACATACACCCAACATGGAAATTCATGCTGGATTAAGCCTAGGGCTGTTTTTGTCTTTTGTTTAATATGTCTGTTGTGTCCTAACATCTTCTCATGTTTCCTTTTATGTCTCTGTTCAGCAAACTGCCAACCTGGATAAGAAAGTTTGTCCCCATGGTTTTTTATATCACAGAAACTGCCTGGAACTTCTACCCTTACACTGTAACAGGTCAGTTTAAACATTGTGTTACAATAAATACAAAAGTGTTTGAATATTAATGTATCGTCACATGGCACGCACATCTATGTTTTCTATTCAATACAACCAGCTGTGACCTAACACCCTATTTCTCTTCTGCATATCTCTCTTTTTCTCCATCCATTGGTGTTTTACTATAGAGTACACGGTAAGTATTCTCATATGTCAGCTCAAACTCATGCAGTTTGCTCTGGGCTCAACATAATCACCTCACTCTCTCCTTCTCGTCTTTCTCTCTCGCTTCTTTGCTCTTTCCACAAGTGTTCCTTCCTACCGAGGTTCCATGTCAAGATTGAGACGCACTTTGAGAATGACAACGGTTGCAATGAAAATGTGAGTGAGAGATGGCAACACACATACACACACACACTCACTCACACACAGTGTGTGTTCTTACAGGAGATAATCCTCTTAAAGGAGGACGATTCATCAGAGGCACATGTAGCTTCCGCGTCCTTGTAAAGGCCATTATGCTTGTGTCTGTCTCTGAAGCACTCAGTAGTAACAGTCAGGCAAGATCCAAACACTCCACCTTCCTCCTGTGACATACGACACCAATGCCTTTAAAGCAGGGCCTCAAACTACTGGTGTGGGTCAAAAAGATTTTGTTCAGACATGTGTAGAAAATCTAGGTCTCTTGTATTTAAACCAGAACTCACTGTGACATGCCTTTAGTTAATGAATACCACATTTTTATTTTTGGTGCTCTGCACAGCTACACTACCAACCCCCCCCCCCCAGCAAGGATGCATTAAATTGCTTAAAATAAATAAATTACATAAATACTCTTCTTTTTAATTTTCTATTCTTCAAAGAATCCTGAAAAAAGTGCATCACATTTTCCACAAAATTATTAAGCAGCACAACTGTTAATTTTTTTGTACATAATGGTAATTCTTTCAACACTGATAATATAAAGTTTGAGCACCAAATCAGCACATTAAAATAATTTCTGAAGGATCATGTGACACTGAAGACTGGAGTAATGATGCTGAAGATTCAGCTTTGCCATCACAGGAATAAATTACATTTTGAAATATAATAAAATAAAAAAAACAGTAATTTTTAAGTGTAATAATTGCAATAATACTGTGATCAATTAAATGCAGCCTTGGTGAGCATAAGAAACTTCTTTCAAAAACAGACGCTATATATATACTGTATATATATAAGTACTAATATCAGCTACTGGACAATATTAGACATAATTAGAAATTATAGTAAAGTTATTATTTTATTTATATATTAGCTAAAATTATAGTAGAAGTTCATTTCTCAAATTTTTACTTCTAGATTTTTACACTCAATGCTAATCTTTAAAAACACAAATAATTTAACAATTAAAAACACAAATTTAGCATTTAATTAATCTAATTAATCTAGCAAAGTTAAAAAATTAATACCCATTTTTCATACTGTCTTTTTTTATTTATTTAGACCAAAAAAATTAATAATGGCCATAAGACAATAACATTAAAATAATATTCATCTTATCAGTATTGGCCAGACTTTTAAAACTGTGCATCTGCTTTAAATAACTTCTCACCATGACATCAAATGTTTTTGGTTTCTTAATGGGGCTTAATGGGGAAAATTGCAGTGCTCAGGAAATACAATCTCATGAGTCGCTCCAAGGTCTTTCCATACATGAATAACCATATAACTGCATAAGTTTTAGATTTAAAAAAAAACATTTTCAACTAGCCTGCAGGTAATGAGAGTCTCCTGCTTTAAAGTGAACAAACAGACAATTTATTTAGCCATGTTGTCATTCAGAGTTTTTACTTAGTACTTATTGTGATGAGTTGAGTTATTACTGGTTTGCAGTGTGTTTGTTTGCATACAGCGGATGAAAGCGAGAGAGGCACTTGTGCCTCGGAGTGCTCTCTGTTATTAAGAAATGAAAAATACGACTTAAACAAGATCCAACCTGCCACAAAGCGACTCAAAGATTTATGAGCGCGTCTGCCTGTGAGAAACAAAGTGAGAGGGAGATGGCGGGAGAGTTTTGTTATTGATACTTTGTAATTGAATTGAAAATTCAAAAGTAAAAAAAAACTGTCACTGGTGCGGTACCTTTTCAAAAGGTACAAACATGTACCTTTAAGGTACTATTATGCACTCTCTAGGGGTAAATAAGGTACAGTACAAGGGTCTATCTTCTGAAACAGTTCCAGCTTTTGTACCTTTTTTTCTGAGAGTGTATTACATAAACACTAAATGAACAACAAGATATCTGTTTTGCATACAGGCACATTCAAACAAATGAAAATAATACTGTCAACACATCAGAAGAGAGGAAGAGTAAACATTACAACAGCTTTTCAACGAGGAAAGAACGGAGGAGAAAAACAGCAGCAATTTGTAAAATACTTGCATTGATTTTAACCATAAACAACATAAAAAGTGTCTGAAACAGAGAGACAAAATAGAGAACGCCACTTATTTTCTTAATTGCTTATTTTTCATTCGTTCTTTTAGATTCCAGCGGGTGCAAAAAGCACCTGCAATGCTGCACAGTCAAAGCAGCCTTCCTTTAAGTTAAGACTTGTTATCTGCTTTCTTTTTCCACTGGCCTGCAGTAGTTTGCATAATTCAGTACTTCTGCCTATAGTAGGCTTGATTTTGCACTCTTTGTTTCCATGTTTTTTGCATTAATTCAGAGTCTCTGCCTACGCCCTAGAGTCTTGTGTTAGGTTGTGGGTCAAGGTTCTGTAATGGGCTACAGAATGTTTAACCGGTTGCATTGTGTGGTATTTTATATGAAGATCGCTCTGAGCACTGAAACACATTCCCACTGTCTTCAATCAGATGCAGAAGCTGGTGCATTTGTAGGCTTCTTTGTTTACAAAACTTGAACTTGCAGTGTCATTTTTTCACTTGGGCATTAGGGGCTTGCCGGAATAAGAAAGCAGCGTGTTCTTTCATATATTGTTGGATTTGTCTGACCGTGCTGTCTGATGTTTCCTGTGCAGGTGTTTGGTGATGACCCCACTCCAAAGGACAGTGTCTGCTTTTTGGATATTTTAAGCGATCCAATCCCTGACAAGCATTATAAGAAGTCGGAGGTACACACACATTCATATATGCATAAATACAGGGCAAAACAAAATCAGGGCTGGGTGAAATTCAGAATTTAAGAGCAGGCTCATTTTCAATTCATGAGTTGAAATGTGAATTGAATTGGCCACACGCCACAGGATGCTAAATTGGGATTTGAATCGGAATGGCAGGAAGAGGAATGTATGGAACTGCAATCTACATAAGAGGAATTTCATTAGTCCAACACAAGTTTCATCAAAACATAAATAAATAATTAATTTCGCCTAATTATGCCTATTTATCTCCCTGTATGTAGGCTACATTTTTTTCTCAGCTCATTAGACTAAACTGAGTGCTGTCACATTAAAACGAACATCAAAACATGTTTTATTTGACATACGGCAGGGGGTTTCAAATTTTTGATACAAAGGACCCCCTAAATATAATGATCCCCCTGAGAGAGACACTTTTCCTAAAATATAAAGCAATTATAAATTTTTATGTATAAAGATCAAATTATACTTTATAAATATTAAAAACATCACATTGTTTTATATAAAATCATTAACTGGTTTTACATTGTCAGTGTATTAAAATCAACAAAAAAGTAGTTGTGATTTATCTGATTTAATTAGAAATAAAAGGCAGAATCAAAAATTCAAGTACAAGTTCAAAATCTTTTCACGTTTTGTTTAAAAATCCCTACTACATTTTTTTCAGTCAGTAGCCTAAGTAGCATTTCAAACACTGATTGTTAATATAATTTAATAGCCCATATGTTGGGTATATGATAACATTTCTAGCTAATTCATATGAACACTTACAGAAAATATAATTGCTTGTACTTGCTTAAATTTAAATTGTACATTTGTACCACGTTTAAATGGTACATAAAGATTTGAATTGGAGTTGAGTTCAGAATGGTTCACAACTTTGACTCACAAATAAGTATCTGTGTTCTTTAGGTCTTTGTGGCCTCACAGAGGTGCAAATGTCTTCAGAGCTAGCATTTAAATGACACAACAGAGACATAAGTACTGTGTGTGCACACAAGCACAGAAGCAAAACCACAAGACAAGCATTACATAAAAACCACATTCCTCAGTGCACTCTACTTAGAGATACAGTTCATTGGAATCTGCTGCCTTTTCAGTGGACAAATAATACATCAGAGGAAAGCATGTTTCCATGTTACACTCACAGATTCAGTCATGCGCAACCTCAAATCCATAGCTGTCATATGCCGAGTAAGGAATAGGACAAATCCAAAAGGATTACAGTTTTCAATAAGAAAAAACAGCTGAGATACACTGGAGACAAGCTCAGACATGTTGACAAAAGGCAGTTAAACAAATTATCATATCACTTCTACAGACAAAAGGGACCAAATATAAACTTTAAAGTAGGCATGGCTGAATCAATGTTCCAGTATTATATTATATTATCACAAGTTGTTAAAAAACAGATTATGTTCTATAACTGATAATTAATGTAATAAATTAATAAAAACAATCCTGATAATCCACAGTTTAGGCCTAATCATTGTTAATAATGGCTTTCAAATATAAATGTTAGATGGATTTAATTTCCATTTTATCATCAAAAATCAAAAGCTTTCCATTTAATGGAGACAAAATGACATTTATAAACTAATAAAATTAATAAATAAAATAATTACAAATGTCTATAAATAGGCTTGGTAGTCTTAAGAAATTTTTATTTTATTAATACATAATTTGCATTAAATAAAAATCAAAGCTAAATAGGAAAAATTAGGAACTAGTTAGTTTATGACAGCTATAGTCAACATTTCAATTTGCATAAATATTGAAAAAAGGAATAAGACTATTCACTGGTCATACTTTAAAAGGGTCCAAATAATGTTATTCCTTACGTCACTATTTAAAATAATAATAATAATTTTTGTAACAGGAATCATGCATGCACCAACAAGAGTGCAGCTAAATATTACATTTCTGCTCATTAAAATGAGTTAATTATTCATAACAGCTTGTATGACAATTCACTGAATATCAACTCCACAGATCATATACTAAAAGATTTTAATTGATAAAAACAGACACTCTTTTAAAACAGTACTGATACCAAAATGTAATACTAGCTACTTTTCATGCTAGGTTAATTTAGGTTCATGTTAGATAATAGTTAATCAAACATATAGGTCTCGCAACCAAAAGCATGAGATTTGTGCCTCTAACGCTTTAGAAATTGGACACCACATGATCAACTGTGAAATGTATTGTCACCCCTGCACAGTAATTCATGCACAGCATGCAACACACACACTCACACACAAGAGCAAGCAATGATCTGCTCACTCAGCAGGTAATGTGTATCTACTTAAAACAAACAGGATCTGAGCAACTGGGTGTCACAGAAAACAGGCCGGGGACCCCTTGTGGACGGCTGGAGGAACACCACTAAACCTATCATGTGCTCCTACAAAAGAGTCACCTGTAGCTTTGAGGTCTACGGCTTCCAGGGGCGAACAGAGGACTTCATTCACAGGGTACTGACCATAACATCCCATGCATTGCATCATGCTGTTTAGTCATGTAATCCCATCATGTGTCATATTACGGCATGTTGTGATTCATCATAGAACATTCGTGACATTCTGTTGGTGGGACACAGACAGGCGGTGGCATGGATTGACGAGTGGCATGGTAAATGAGATGTATTGCAATGCTTCATTACCATAATTAACCACATGCTCTGTTAAGTACACACAAGAATCCTGATCCCTCGCTTGGCACTCGATTGCTGTACGTCATCTATCTTAATTCTTCACAAATACACACTAAATGCATAACAAATATTTGTGCATGCAGGAATGACACTCGAGCAGGTGAGAGAGTATGAGAGAAAACAGCAGGAGGAAACCAACAGCAAACTCAATAGTGACATTACCTGCACAGGTATGCTGAAATTAAAAATAATTTGGAATTTACTTACTTATTTGTGACCCTGGACCACAAAACCAGTCATAAGGGTCAATTTTGTGAAATTGAGATTTTTACATCACCTGAAAGCTGAATAAGCTTTCCATTGATGTATGGCTTGTTAGGATAGGACAATATTTGACTGAGATACAACTATTTGAAAATCTGGAACCTGAGGGTGAAAAAAAATCAAAATATTGAGAAAATCGCCTTTAAAGTTATCCAAAGCAATGAATATTACTAATCAAAAATTAAGTTTTGATATATTTACGGTAGGAAATTTACAAAATATATTCATGGAACATTATCTTTACTTAATATTCTAATTATTTTTAGCATAATAAAAAATCGATAATTTTGACCCATACAATGTATTTTTGGCTATTGCTACAAATATACCCGTGCTACTTATGACTGGTTTTGTGCTCGAGTCCAGGGTCACATTTATGATTTAACACCAAATCAGAAGCAATGGCTATATTCATGGAAAATTCAACAGTATTATGGCTATAATGTTTAGAATAATTTAACAATTTTATCTTGAAAACGACCAACATACAAAAATATACATATATAGTTAAATTAACAATAATAACAATAGTAATAATAATAGTTATATAGAATTTTTCAATTTAATTTTAAAATTCTAAAATGATTCCAGGAGAATCTTTTTTTAAAAACTGTCCAATTTATTTATTTTCTGAATAAAACGTTTAAAAATGGACATTATATTCAAATACGTTTAAAACTCAAGAAATGATTACACACATCACAAATCAGACTCTCTTCCTCTTTTAGTAAATAAGTGCGAGTGAGTCTTGAGTGACCAATTCGATGAAAATTTTGAATCAATATAAAAAATTTGCTTGTTTGAATAGTGACCTAGAGATATAATAAAGAAAAATTATATTTTAATTGATTTTCATAATGTTTCCAGATTCACGTTAAGAGTTTCAATAGATTTTAGCTTTCCTATGGCTCAAACAATAGAGCACAGCCCTAGCAACGCCAAGGTCATGGGTTCAATTCCCAAGGAAAGCAAACGACTGATCAAATTTACCCTGAATACATTTGAATACACACTTTAGATAAAAGCCTCTGCCACATGAATAAATGTTAATGTAATTTTCAATGTGAACATCTCTCAGTATCCACACTGCCCTCTATTGGTGAACATTTTATACTACATCACAACTGTTACAGTTTAGTCAGCACTGTGATGCAACTTCATTATTAATATGGAAGTCATCATGATTTATAAAAACACTGTTGCAAAATGTTACGCTAAATCAGAAGCACAAAAAATAATTTTCTTTTCTGCTTCACAGACTCTGCTCCAATGCGACCCAGCTTCACTCGCTCCATGTCTGTTACAGATGAATCGTCACTGAAAAAGATGGGTGTAAAGACTGTAGACATTCCAAGCTCTCCGTCCTGCCCTTCCTCCCTCAAAAATCCCGTGAGATTAAACTCTACACCAGAATAATACCACATCGTCCACTGCCAGTACCTAGCCTACATTTAACAAAATTCTGGACTTGGACATTCTCTCCTAACCAAAACTAGAAAGACTTTGTCACATTGTCACTCACTGCTCTCCGTTCCATCTGGACTTGCATGCTTGTGTTCCATGCAGAGGCTGGCATCTGACAAAAACATCTTACTGAAGAATTGTAGATATTATGTAAAAAGACTCTGGCTTCTCATGAAGTTAAACCATAGTGCCTTAATTCATGTTTCTCACAGACCTCACCAAAATGGATTGAACAAATGGTCTATTCCCCTGCCTACGAACATGAAGGGGACCACAGAATGCAGATGAATGAATGAATGAATGATGCATTTATATAGCGCTTTATTGTGTATTTCCGTACACCCAAAGCGCTTTACAATCATGTGTGTGTGTGTGGGGCATCCACCAGATGAAAAGCCTCTATTGACATAATCAGTAGACTGTTTCAGTGAAACCCAATCATATGGATTATGGCAATCATGAGTGACTAGCTGAATTTTCTAGTGGGTTACGGGTTATTGAGGCTAACCTCTGACCCCGTATCAATACATTGACGGAACACAATTGATTGTTTAGTCGTGCAGCACATAGCGAGAACATTATCAATAGTACTCTGGGTGATCAGATGAAAAGACTACAATGGATGAAGCATTGTGTGTTATTTGACACCTGTCTTTTTAAGATGCCACTGGTGATAGTGCAGAACCATAAATTCACATCATTGATTAATAAGCCAACGTTGTTATGTCAAGCCGTTCAAACAAACCGAGGAATGTTGAAAGTGCCATTTCTTCACATATTTTTTTTTTATAATAAACTTGAGGGATGCATGATACTCTGTTTCTACACTGGTTATCAGCCAACAAACCGAGGAATGTTGAAAGTGCCATTTCTTCACATATTTTTTTTTATAATAAACTTGAGGGATGCATGATACTCTGTTTCTACACTGGTTATCAGCCAGTTTTTTTCAAGCACTTTTTTATTTATCAGTATCAGTAGATATTTGATATTAAATACTCATTTGCTCTGTTTTTACATTAAGATCTTTGCCATCATACAAAACACTCACTTAAAGTTCATCTTTAAAAACACAAATGATTTAATAAGACTGTTAAATATAATTTAATAACTTTAACAATTCTGAAAATGAAAATATTTTTTCATAATGAACATAATATTGTGGTCCCTAAATTCACTTGTCGCATTTATAAATCAATTAGGCTTATTTTAGTTGTTAGTGTCTTATTTTACCTACATGTGTGTGTATACGGAGTAAAAACAATAATATTTGAAATATTACAATTTTCTATTTTAATATTTTAAAAATGCCATTTATTCCTGTGATGGCAAAGCTGAATTCTCAACAGCCATTACTCAGTCTTCAGTGTCAGATGATTCTTCAGAATGTCCTCAACAATCATTTCTTTTTATAGTCTATGTCGAAAACTGCGGTGCCACTAAATTTTTATGGAAACTATGATACATTTTTTTCAGGATTCTTTGATAAATTTCAAAAAGTTCAAAAGAACAGTTCAAAAGAACAGTAATTCTTTGAAATGTAATGCATTCTTCCTGAATTATAATATCAGTTTCTTTCCCAAAAAACATAACAAAACAAAACTTTTCTTACTGACCCCAAACTTTTGAACAGTTTATATATATACATTTTTAATAACACTGCATCCCTATAGGTTAAAAGTATACTTACAGCAAGTATACTTGTTAATAACTCACTTCTTGGGGTAAAAGCCCCCAAAAAGCATCAATAAAAAGTGACTCTGTAAACAAAAGTCTGAGTGTAGGTATCTTGTAAGCTTTAAGCGTTCTAGGAACTGTATTTTTTGCGGTCATAGAATGTCCTCAACAATCATTTCTTTTTATAGTCTATGTCGAAAACTGCGGTGCCACTAAATTTTTATGGAAACTATGATACATTTTTTTCAGGATTCTTTGATAAATTTCAAAAAGTTCAAAAGAACAGTTCAAAAGAACAGTAATTCTTTGAAATGTAATGCATTCTTCCTGAATTATAATATCAGTTTCTTTCCCAAAAAACATAACAAAACAAAACTTTTCTTACTGACCCCAAACTTTTGAACAGTTTATATATATACATTTTTAATAACACTGCATCCCTATAGGTTAAAAGTATACTTACAGCAAGTATACTTGTTAATAACTCACTTCTTGGGGTAAAAGCCCCCAAAAAGCATCAATAAAAAGTGACTCTATAAACAAAAGTCTGAGTGTAGGTATCTTGTAAGCTTTAAGCGTTCTAGGAACTGCATTTTTTGCGGTCATATTCACCTTTTCTCCTCGCATATAATTGCAAAGATCCTTGCTGCTTCCTCCTGTGGCTATTACTGTATTCATTCATTCCTAGCATTTTATTTCCTTCTTTTTATCTTTCTGACGAAGGGATGTGGAAGGCAAAGATTGAATCCATGTTTCCTGAAGTCTTCTAGTAGCGCTCAAATGACTCCAGGCTGTTCTGTTACAGCTCTGGTTCTCTCTTTCTTTCAATTTCTCACTATCTTCAGCATTCTCTCTTCCTTTCCCTTGCTGACCCTCCTTCACATCCCAGTTTCTATCTCTCTCAGGAGAACATTTCTGATGTATAAATTTCATTAGAAGAAAGCTAAGGCAGTAGCACTAGTGCAGGCAGTGTAAAAGATCAGCTCTCTCTACCAGAATAGAATAAACAGTAAACCAGAATAGGACCTACACGATAATAATTTCATTTAAACACTAGTAATACTGTGCATGATTTGATTCGTATGGACCTCTTTATTATATTTTTATGGGTTGTGTCGTTTTAAAGCCTAAAAGCCCCCAGTCCTAATCCACTTTCATTACATTGAAAAGAGCAGCTAGGATATTCATCAAGCCTAAATTTTTCAAGCCTAAAATATTGTAATACAGCTTTAAATTTTGGTTTTCCATACATTAGAATGTGTCCTTATTTTTATTTTTTATGCAAAAAATGACTATCATATCATGATTTACAGAACACATCCACTAAAATGCCATTCAGTGAAACAATTTTATTGTGTAACAAGATTCTAAACAAAAATATATTGTCAGGTATATTTAGAACAGAATGACATTCTATTTAAGGATCACAGTGCAGCACAAAAATACTAATTAACTGATATTTAATTTTTTTTTACTATCCTTCAGGTTTTAACCATTGTTCTTGTCAGCAAAGGTTTTGTAGTAAGTGGAAAGGAACGAAGGAAGTGAAAATTATTAAAAATATTTAAAAAAAAATGAGTATGACCACATATTCTTTTATATATTTGAATAATATAAAACAAATAAATCTGTTACGCTGAATGACGATGGTTTGTTACACTCAATGACGTTTTGCCAAAAAGGGAGAGAATATTGGTGTTGAAATGTTTTTAGTAGTTTTAGTCTTTATCAATAAATTAGTTTTAATAACATTCCTGAGTAAATGACAGCAGGAGCAGATGTTGAAAAATAAAAAGCACTCTTACGGTATCTTGTTACTATGGACTCTCTTTTCAGAAACAGTGGTAAGCTATTATTCTGACAACTGCAAACCTTTCCCGTCTCCTTTCTAAGAGTGCCGCTCTAGCTACTGGCTTTGCATTTACTTTTAGCCAGTGCCTTGAAACTGGCAAAAAGTACAATCATGTCACTGTGATTGTAGGCATCTAAAATAAATCAGTAACACATACACACACACATACATAAACAATGCCTTAAAATATTAATTATACATTCCTCATTTACCAAATTGCTATCTATACAGTGACACTGAATGACGAAACTATCTTAGCATATATTGCAGGCTATCAACCTATATCAAATACTGCTTGACTAGTAAAGTTAATCAGTTATTCACAACATCTACATATTTTTCTAAATAAATCTAACAATACGTATTTTTGGGCATTTCATCAAATAGCATATGGTTTTGCAACTTAATTTAAGAGCAATAAATTACCTGCAGCACACCTATGTATATATGTATATATAACTATGTATATGCACTTTCTATGTATATAAAATAATTTTAGTAAATTTAATTTGATGTGGACACCAAAATGGGACATCTCATCTTCGACCCATCTACAGCCTATATCTAGCTTCATGAATGTCATTAATATCTGACCGCCCATATTATCTCAAAGAGATAAGCTGCATTGAGATAAAGAACATTCATCTGCATTGTGTTCCACAACTGTTAAATGTCAACAGACAATGCATATTTAACATTAGACATACCTGACTACAGTAAAATCGCTTAGTTTCACATAGAAATCACTGTAAACTGCAAACTGGATTTCACAGCAGAACAGATGTGCTGGATTAAAGACAGAAGACTGACCCAAGCCCTGCAAACTAACCCAGATACCAATGCCTTTTTGTCTGTCTCTAATCATTATTATCATAATAAAGTATAGGTGGGTTAAAAAGATCTCAAGGGTAATTTATGAGCAGTAATTATATTGCTGAAGCCACCTCCAGCCGACACACAGGCACACGCACAAGCATCCCCTCATGCAAGCAAATGTAGAGAGTTATGCATGCATGCACATACTCCCCCAAGAGGGTGGGAATGTTTGGGAGGCATTCATTGAAATTCAGGCCCTAAACATAGCACTCAGCACAACCATAAAGGACCCATATTTAATTGGCCCACCCAGCCCATTAATTACATAGCCAGAACTGCACTGCAACACAGCATATGTTCCCTAATAAAGCCCGATGGATCTTAATAGAGATGTATTATTGATTCACAAAGGTGGAATTAAACTTTTCCATATAAGCAGAGATCCCATGAAGCGCACATTGAGATAACTACTCTTACACACACATATTAACATAAGCTTACACACATATACTCTTGTGTGTTGTTATGGACACAAATATAGGTAGAAAATAATAAGTATGGTCATTATATGGATGCACACACACAAACACACAGGGCATGACATACAAGGGTCAAAATATGTCATTACATAATGAGACATCACCAACAAGCAGCCAAAAAGCCTCTCCACCCTAAACATGACCGTAATAGTAATGAGATCATATCCAGAAAACCAGGAAATCACCGTTTTCATCCTCAACAGCATTTGCCTTTTATTAAAACATAGGTAACTCTGCCTATAACTTCTTTTTCATCTGTATCTCTTCTTTTTCCTCATTCCTTTTCACTCTTTTCATTCATTATCATTTTCCATTTTGTGTATATGTATGTACAGGTCTACAATAAAAGCCAGAAATCCAGAAATTTTCTGCATTGTTACAAACAACTAAATAATAAACAGATGATAGATAGATAAATGATAGAGAGAAGATGAAGTATCTAAGATAAGACAGACAGACAGACCAACAGATAGACAGACAGATAGATAGATAGATAGATAGATATCATTTTCCATTTTGTGTATATGTATGTACAGGTCTACAATAAAAGCCAGAAATCCAGAAATTTTCTGCATTGTTACAAACAACTAAATAATAAACAGATGATAGATAGATAAATGATAGAGAGAAGATGAAGTATCTAAGATACACAGACAGACAGACCAACAGATAGACAGATAGATAGATAGATACTTTATTTTATACCACTGTTACAAATGAGGACGTCGCCAAAAGGAGATGTTTTGAGGTTCTGATGGATGGATTTAGCTCACATCTGGATCCAAATTTGTCCGCAAAATATGATTAAGTAGGTACACACACAGAGGCACAAGCCTGTCATTTATTCTAAATATTAAATATTTAACAAAGAGTCATTGCACACTTGAGGACTATAAATAAACAAATGATGCAATCATTACATCATCAAAG